TCGAACCGCTGAAGTGTCGACCATTTCTGGCTGGCAACTTTCAGCGTCATTAAGCTGCTGCGCCACCACATCCCCTGCTCAGCATTTACTTATATGTATATTAACATCAGCATTTTCCCTCATAATGCCTCCTCTTTAGGGTGTCTTTGCTATCATTCCAGCACTGTGATATCATTTTGTGCTATGTAAATCATCACAATGCTGAAAACAAATAGAAAACCTCTTTAACCTTTTCTCTTCAAAATTTGGAAAGCCTGAAGATACAGAAGACAGAAAAGGGGGGCAGGGGGAGATTTGTTTCTTCATCCATTTTCAGCCTCTTCCTTAATCATGCCATATCAAAATGTGGGCAGATATTTGAATAAACATAGAAAAAAATAGCGTCTAGAAAAAAGATTCTAGTTTACTCTTCTGTCTGATATGAAAGGTTCCTTTCTGCACGAGTTTCTTCTTTTTACTCTATAATAAGGAGTTTTTATACATGTGGCTATATCAACCAAAATTTCACTTCACTGGGTTGTTGTTGTGGGGAAAATAGGAGGAGGAAGGAGTATTAGGTATGTTTGCTGCCTTGAATTATTTATAAAAATAATAAAGGCAGGATAAAAACACATAAAAATAATTTTTAAAATACATGCTATTCCTTCTGAGAATGCTCACAATGGTATAACAGAAGTCTGAGCATCACTGAAAGTAGTACAATGATGCAGCTTTATCACCAAGAGAAAATATTCAAAGAAATCAAGACTAAGCTTCTTTATTGTAATTTTGTTTTAAGTATCTGCCAGGATATGTGGAATGACACCCAAAAGAAGAGTGCAGTGTGGGACTCCTGGCATCTCTGCTGATGAATGCATGGAGAAAGGATGCTGCTATGAACATCACCAGTATGCCAGAACAGTCCCCTGGTGTTTCAAACCTTATGAAAAGCAAGGAAATTATTCTCTCTGAAGAACAAAACTGGAAGAAGTGTGGTTTGTTTGAAGAAGATGCTTGCAAAATGAAGACCAATAGACATATCAGCACAGTATGAAGATTTGCTCATATGATTTGCATTATTGTAGTAAACGTTTAGTGTTGAATACTTTGAGGGAATTCTTATTCATTTCTCACTTTTTCAGAAGGAAGAACTATAGCATCAATACTAGAATTATCAGTGTTAAATCAACAGAACATTCAGATCATATTTTTGCACAATCCCAAATTATAAATAACAGACATTTCATTAAATGTAGTACAGCTTTGTCTTGACTAAATATTCAAGATTAAAAAATTAAAAGTACATTAAAGTTTGTACTCAATGCACAGATCCCTATTGTGGTCACTAAATGAGACTACTTGTAATTAGCTTGAATTCTAAGTATTTTAAAGGTCACCCATTCCTGAAAGAATATGCTTAGCTTTTAAGATTAGCTAAACTGGCTTTCTTCCTCTTCCCTCTGAAGCCAGACTAGTATCCACACAAAAGCAAATCTTCCTGGGAACTTTATACCATCTGAGGTTTGTCATTTCCCAATTCTTTCAGCATCCAGACTTAAAGAAACCTGCCTTTTCCATGGCTTTTGTTGCTTTTATTTAGTTGAATTTTAATTGGTTCTGACATATGGATTGGTGTTTTAAGTATATACAGTGTGTGTGTGTGTGTGTGTGTGTTCTCTTTCATCTTAGCTTTAAATTAACTCTTTTAAAAATAACATTTCCAAAAATTTTTGTTTGTGAGTGCATTTGAGAACAAAAGTGAGATAGCATTTTAAATAAACAAATGTAAAATGGGATGTTACTCAATCTACCTGCATACCCAAGAGATCAATTTCCACATTGCCCAACAATGAGGTGAAGTTTGTACTTGGCTTCTTGCTAGTATGATATGTATGTTTACACATAGTGTAAGTATACTGCCTATTTCTCAAATCCTATTCTCATCTAGTCTGTTTATAAACAGTTTCTATTGCTTTGAACGTCACGTTTAAACTCAGTGAGGTTTGTCAAGTTTCTAACTCACTAGATTCAGTCTGATTCTTCAGACTTCTACATTGCCAAAACCAGAAAGAAGCAAAGGATAGCCATCGTACTCTGGTCCACACATTAATATCACCAGATCATAATATTATGATTTTTGTAAGCTAGACATTTCAGTCATTGCCTATTGAATGGTAGAAGTCAGATCTGAATCCTGTTTCTTAGGGAAGGGGAAAGAGGGTTTTTAAAATCTCTTTGGCTTTGTTGTGTTATATCCTCACTGCTTCCATATTCCAGCCTTTGCCTCTGTACTTTGCTCCTAATTTAATTCAATTCTTTAGAGCTGGGTGGTGACAAAGAAAGTGGATCAGCTGTGAGCAACAAGAAGAAAGTGCTGCTCCAAAAGCTTACCACTCCCATTAGGGTGGCTGCTGCACCAGCTCCTGCTGTTCTGAAAGAACCAGGAGGCCCAATGCACACTTTTATACAAGTGCTTAATGGCAGATGTGCTTTTTACACATGAGCAAAGTATTTTTTAATTTACAGGACATTTGGAATTAACAGGCACCACTTCTCCCTAACATTACTTGGGGAGTGTGGCAATATCCAAATAAAATAGGATATTGGCATTGATTAGACCCAGATCATTGGTGCAATTCTGTATTTTTCCTATAGCTAAGATGGTAACCATGTGATGGATTTGAGGGATCTGACCCCTCTATGTTTCTGAATAGTAGAATTATTTCTATCTAGAGTTAAGAAAGGATTTACATTATACTGAATGGCATCCCTCCATCAATCAGACTGGTAGTTCATTGTCTTCTTCTAGCTGATAAGCCTTATCTTCCATCATCTTCAGTTCCATTGAGAGGTTTCTGTGATGAGTAGCAAGTTTCCATGGTACCTCATCCTCTTCGGCATGTTACTTCAAGTAGTGTCCAAACAATTTTTTTTGGCAGACTTCCTACTTGCTACAAACTAATCCAACTCAGATTCATTTACCAATCCATATTGGGTTTTACTAAAACTAAGAACCCAGCTTCAATAATCAGTTGTTGTCTAAGTCCATTTCAGCTGCTAGCTAACACCTCCATATCCTGGATGGAAAAAAATCAGCAAAATCTATTTATGGGCACTGCATAGGTTGTGTTTAATAAAGGCTTTTCTTAGGCCTTTATTAAATACAAATACAAAATACCTCACAGAATTGTCTCAACATGTAGCTTGGCTATTTCTATTATTGCAGTAACCAAGATAGGATCTACATTAGTGTCTCTTCTGTGTGTAACACATCTTAATTATGCTATTTCTTTAAAATGAAACTCAAAGAATTTAAAATGTAAGTATGAGGTACACATGATACACATACACACTTCTTTCTGAATGTCCAAAGCTACTCTGGAAGAAATAGGTTGTATACCATACAAAAACTATGAAGAGAAGACTGGCAAAAAGGCAAGTCACTGAGCTCCAAGAGGTGATATTTTCCCTTATTGAGGTTTGCCTCCCTGAAAAGCAGAATCTGAAGTATTTTGTAATAAATTAAAAGAATTGTACTTGAAAAAGATGATGATGATGATGATGATGATGATGATGATGATGATGATGATCCCCTCTCACCCCTATGGTGGTATGTGTCAATCTCAGGTCTTCTACCAGAAGCTTGGGAGGTTGAGGGTTCTACACAGTATCTTAGCAGTTCCTAGCACTGCACTCTTCTGGACAGAAAGCTCTGATGTTGCTCCTGGGATCTATTGGATCCACTCTCTCAGCTTAGGAGTCACAGCCCTGAGTGCTCCTTCCACCACTGGGACCACTTTGGCCTTTACTTTCTACATCCTCTCTAGTTCCTCCTTCAGGCCCTGGTACTTCGCCAGTTTCTCATACTCCTTCTTCCTGGTGTTGCTGTCACCTGGCACCACTACATCTATCACCACCACTGTCTTCTGGTCCTTTTCTACTACCATGATGTCTGGTTGATTGGCCAGTGCCTGCCTGTCATCAAAACAAAGGAAACTGAAGATATTCAAAGAAAGTGATCTCCCTGGCCATCAGTACAGAGTGAGATCTGGTTACAAACTGGCATCAAGGTTAGATAGCCACTGCATTTTTCACTTCTACTGTTTTGACCTCTTTTGAATCATCTGTATTTTAGAAACTTTTGTACTCAGAACTGTTCAGCACAATCTTAACTCATTTCATAGGCATCCACAGAGGGAGGCAAGTAACATCATGCAGTGTCATGATATCATTATGCAAATGACATAAACTCTGCAATATGTGTCAGTCTATACAATTGACACAAATTACATAATATTGTGTCATTTGCACAAAGTTGTCATGATACCCCTGATTATTGTTAATACTGGGTGCTATAACTCACTGTGGCAGAAACCAGCATCAAAGTGCAAAGAAGGAAATTAGCGTGATAAATAATTCAGAGACAAAAACTTGCAATTATGGTCCTAGGAAAATATTTGCTGTTACTTTTTGGGTTGGTAGAAATGGGAGTAAAAGAGAAAAGCTGAGAGTCCTTGACTTTTTTTCCTTTTCTTACTTTTTCAGAGTGTTAAAATGATGCTTCAGAAAGGAACTTTCACAAAGAGCATGCTATGGATAGAACTATTCAAGCACAATGTTATCCCATGTGCTGAAGTAATTTTGGTTTCCATATGTTAATGCATCTTTATAGTAGACAGTTAATTACATATTTTGTTTCAGTATGTCACTTCTTTACATCTGCTAAAGGCAATCATGATTATAAAAAAGCAATGTATTTATGTTTATAATGTATTGTACATTTGCCTCTCATGCTAATATCCATGTAGTAGCCTACAGATGAGACATTAGCCTTTTGTAACTGAAAGTTTCATTTGCAAGGTGCTTCTGTGATTAGAAATATATCACATTAATAATATGCAATTAAATCATACAAAACACATTGAACATTACTGTGTTGTGCTAATAAAACTTCTTATATATCTTGAAGTTTACTATGATCCCTTGCCAATTATAAAAGACTTCTGACACTTTAATAGCATCAGATATTTTTGCAGTACAATTTTTTGTATCTACAAAATAGTATTCTACTGCAATTAAATTGATCTTAAAGATTTCATAAATCTATCTGCTTTTTTTCTCCAACAAGTTGACACAGCTACTTTTCTGGACGATGTCAGAGAATAATTTCCCCCCGTACCTCAACTGTTACTTTAGGTAGATTAATTGGAATAATAGAGAGCTCAGGATGTTGTAAACAAGACATGAGCAGTACCCTCAGAATAAATTAACCTCCCAGGATGGGAATTCTGGGAGCTGCAATTTAACATGTGGTGGTGGTGGTGGAGGAAATCAGTTTATGGAACATCAGAATAAATTGATCCCAAACAGTGACTTTCAAATTATACTACAAATAATCCCTAACAGCGATATGTGTGGATGAGCTTTTGGGATTAGAACGTGTTACCAGTATCCCTAGTGTCTGATTTACATTAGTTTCTTGCAACTGCACAGGTGTATATATAGATATTTATTTCACTGTCCTCTTATTCAGACTGGCTAGAAATGACTGGCTAGAGTTTATCACATAAGATGAAGAATGGAAAACAGGAGAGTGGAGAGTGCATTGCAAACTCACTGGAATAAGAAGACCTTAACTTGGAAATGTTATATAAAGTGTAATAAAAACAGAAAAGTAGAGGTTTCTGGTTTTGGTTGTTGATAATTTCTTGGTGTGTAATGTGTGTTTGGTTAGTAAAATGATTGTACAAAAAGTGAATCTGAAAACTAAACCAAGAACTACAGGTAATAATAAAAATAACATTAAAACCACATTCTTATAGGTTGAAGCCACTTTAACTAGCTGATTAGCCTCTGTCATTAGCCTATGTTCATGTCAATGTAGTCCTCTCTGATGCTTCTTTCTTCTCCTGCTTTGTGCTTCCCAGCCATGAAGGGACTGCTGGTCACTGACATAACCAATTTCT